TTCAATAAGGTATCTTAAAGAATGAAAATGGGACCCCAGAAGATGAGGAAAACTTTGAAGAAGCTATAAAAAATGTGAACACAGCACTAAATTGTACAGAGGTAAAATAAACATTTCTGTGATAAAATTGAAGCAATTTCAACTATCTCATTTTCTCAGAATGTGTTATTCAGTTTTAGGACAGGTATTCCATTTGTAACATTTGTATTTAGCTAAAACAGGATTAGTACTGATTGTTAGAACTGAAATTGTGTAGTTAAATAGACCAAGACTAGCTGGCAGTATAGCTTATGGAAATTCTCTTACTGCTTTGCTCTTGCAAGAAATCTGTATTTCCCTCCTGCAGACTTGAATTCAAATCTAGAATGAGTCAACAACCAGAATGCATCAGTGAGTTCTTGTCTGACTTCTGCAGTTCAGTCTGTAAAAAACTCTATGAAGTGCTGGGTACAATTGCAAGGATTTAGCAGTGAGAGGTGTGGCTGATGCTGATTTAAATAGGCTGCTGGGAGAGAGACTGAGAGCACTTACTGAAATTGTGCTGTGTTGAAGCCAGGGACTGGAGTTGTTACTCTCTGTAGAAATGAAGGGCTGCATGGGACTTCTGATAGAATAAACTGACTTCTTTCCTCTTGAAGAAACTTACTATAAAATTCCCTTCATAAACTGGTCAAGCTTAAAAGCCTTTGAAGTGATATTTTCATTGTTTCTTAAATAATCCTGACCTAGTAATTTGTGGTTGAATTGAAAATTGAGCTCTGATTTCTTTAGTTTTTCATCTGGGATAAACTGCAAGGGCTACATGGGGCAAAAGCACATTCTGTGATTCTTCCTAGATTATGTTCTGTTTTGAACTATGCTGATCCTTGCTTGGATGATCATGTTAAGTCTCCCAAGAAAGCAGCAGGTAAAACTTAGTGCTGTCATCTAAGCCACTACAAGACATGGCCCAGGATATTAATATTAGAGTTTACGAGCCAGACTGACCTGCAGCAGTTCAGGATTTTGATTGAAACACAGACTTTTGTAGCCCCATTCCCCTTCCCTGGCCTTTTGGCTGCTCTGCCCCACCAGGCAGGTTGGGCATTTGGGTTGGTTGCTGCTGCAGTTTTTCAGATCTTCTCTGTCAAAGATGGAAGTCAGGTGAGACTTTGTCTGGGACATTGATCTTGCTCAGAAGCATTGCCTTGCTCATGGGCAGGGCTGCTCTTTGAAATGTGTAGGATTCAGAGGAGATTTGCCATGAAACTCTAAGGTCACTTAGAGTTGGTTCACCTGTGTAGTGAGTGTTGAGATAATTAAATCAAAAGTCAAGGAATTACAAAGCAAATTTATTTATTTTCATAGATTCCAAGAGGCATTGAAGAGCTTTTTAATGATGATTGCTGCCTAAAGCTCACGGAGCAGGTATGAGTAAGGGTAAGACTTAAATGTAGGAAAAGCATTGTAAATAGAATCTGTGTACATGACTGTCTCTTGTGCATTTGTAGTCATCTTCCTTCTGGATTTTGGTTCGAGCTTTAAAGGAATTTGTGGCAAATGAAGGGCAAGGAAGCTTGCCTGTCCGGGGCACCATTCCTGATATGATGGCAGACTCCAGTAAATTCATCAAATTGCAAAATGTGTAAGTAGACAACTCCTTGAGGGAGCTCACTTCATTGATGTGGCTTGTATTTTGTCTTTATAATGTAAAACAAAACCAAAAACAAACAAACAAAAAATAATAAAAAAATAGCCTTCAATGTGGAGTTGATGGCTTTGTGCTGTAATTATTTTCTTTTTTTCATTACTGCCAGATACCGTGAAAAAGCAAAGAAGGATATTGCTGCTGTGGGAAACCATGCTGCTAAATTGTTACAGTCCCTGGGCAAGGTAAGTGCAAACCTATGGCCATTCTTCTAATGGAATGAAGTATCAGTGAAGTATCTGCCTTATTTATCAATTTGGTTTGATCATATAAAAGTAAAATGCATACAGGGTTATACTGTTTACAATTTAAGATGGGGTTTCTTGGTACATTAGTAACTAGTTATTTCACAGTAAATATATTAATATATATGTGAAAGCAGGAATTCTCTGGCCATTGTGTGTACTGGAATGAGTATATTCTCTCTTTTAGGCACCTGAGTCTATTTCAGAGAGAGAATTGAAATTGTTCTGTGAGTATGCTTGGATTCTGTTCTTGGTTTATGCAAATGATCAAATAATCAAAAACTTTTCAATGATCATGGCGTTATTAAGCAGTAAATCAATATTTGAATTTTTCAAGTAAAGTACTAAGTGGTTTGCATCCCTTATTTTCAGAAGTAGCAGATGTTCAGCATCTCTCAGGTGGTTTTAAAATGTTGTATTTTGTCACTCCAGACAACAGGGGGTAGCTGCCCTCTGCTTTCTGTGATGAGTACCTGAGCACTCTTGCCCATGCTGGGTACTGGTTGCAGAATGTGGGCTCTGCAGGCCTGAGGCAGTCTGGAAAGCTGTCACCCATTTGATGGCACTTCAGGCTGTGTCTGTCCTGGATGTGTACACGTGTCCAGCAGCAGCCTGGCTGAGGCTACTCACAGCTGGAAAGCTCCCCTGCAAGCACAGAGCCAAGGGCGTGCTGCCCTGCGTTGGTGAAGCATTCAGGAGCCTCCAGGCTGCTCCTTTTTCATAGCTGGGTTGTAGCTGCACCCTGGGCTGGTTCATAGCAACAGCAGTGGAAAAGGACCTTTTCCAGCTCATGGCTGTGCTGTTAAAATATTAATTGAGAACATGTGAAGCAGTGTTAGATGCAGTGGAAGATGGAAATAACTATGTTGATTTGCAGCCTGGGAGAAGGAAACGTGTTGGCTGTGACTGATGAATTGCTGTGGTGTAGCTGTTACATCGTATTTCCCTAAAACTCTCCTGCCCACAGACCTAAGCCTAGTTAAACAGGTTTTTATTATGAAAGCTGAGAAGAAATAGGAAAGTGTTGGATGAAAACCTGTTAAGTTGTAGCCTTTCCCATGTGACAGTGCAGTGAGACAGAGCTGTGGTGAGGGAGTGATGGCACTGACAGGGCAATCTCTCCTTGTCCCCACGTCCAGGCAGCAACGCCGCCTTCCTGCGCGTGGTGCGCTGCCGCTCCCTGGCTGAGGAGCACAGCCCCAGCTCCTGCAGCAAGGATGCAATAAGTAAGTACTGCTGCTTGCCACAAACCTCACTGCATTTCCAGCTTGGAATGGTTTGGTGAGGAAAAGGAAATGTAAGCTACATGTTCTGTTGCATTACGCAGTTTTATCATTTGGAATGTCACAATGTCTTTGGTGAATTTAAATAAATTCTTACTGTAAGGAACATGTATCTCAACTACAGGTGTGGAGTTTTTAGGTCTAGAATGTTGAATTCAATTTGATTTTGAAATTTCAAAAATTACCTTACAGACTGATGCACGTTCCAGCTTTTGTTTTCTTGTAGATTTTACTTATAATACTCTGTAAATAAAAAACTGTTTTCTTCAAACTTCTCTTTTCTGTACCCCAGTTATTTCTGACAGAGCTGAAAAGGTGCTTTAGCCTGACCAAACAATAATTATCTTGACCCCTTTCAGCTTATCTCTTTAGGATGTGAACCAACAAACTAGTTACTTAATATTGATTTTGGTTTTTATATTAAATTTTTTTTGAGCCTGCATAAATGAGAAAAAAAGCTGGAAATACTTTTTTATTGAAGTTTGTTGAAAGTAAGCTTAAACAAGTCCTCTGAATGTTTTGGACAAAATATGTATATATTTTATGTATACATGCATCTTGTAAGATTTATCAGGGAAATGATTCAAGCTCCTTGAATTAGTTGGTAATGTGCAGTGGTTTGTAAGTAGCAGTTACTATTTACAAAGACTACTAAGCTGTGTGGCAAGGGATTAAGACCTTTTTTGTTTTATGTTTTATAATTACAGTCATTACAGACAATACTTAAAGCATGTGTTTCAAATCCTAAAATTACAGCTAAGGAATACCCATTTAAATTATAGCTGCCAGAATTGATATGTGAGTTTCTTCACTGAATAGTTTATATTAAATACATATAATATGGTTTTGTCATAAGCTTTGGAGGCAAAGTTTTGTATTTGACAGTTGTTTGATTAAGATTCTGTCACAGGTCGTATTCATTAAGATTTCTTTCTACTGCAGATTTTACTATTTGTTTTCAGGGAATTCAAAACCTTGCTTTTTCCATTCCATCTGCAGCAGCTAACCAGTTGCCTTGCTGTTTTCAGTTTCCCATATGGATAACCCAGACAGTGAAATAGTGCTGTACTTGATGCTGAGGGCTGTCAATAGGTTTTACAAGCAGCACGGCAGATACCCAGGTATGTTAATACCAGTTACTTCACATCATCAAAAGAAATATAAAGATCCAATAGTTACTGTAGTTCAAGTTATAATAAACTGCAAGTACATTAGTTGTGGTTTTGTTTCCATAGTAATACAGCTTTAGGAATGTGAAAATTACAATGAGAGTTTATTCTCTTTGGGAACTTAAGGAATTTATCTGGATTGGTGTCATTAATGGGTTGTGTGGATTATGAATCATTTCAGCTATGCAGTATTTCTTCTGTCATGAGAAGCATCAACAGAATGTTCAATTATTGTTGGTCTAGTGCTAATGACACATTAATTGGCTTAGAAACTTTTTAGGAAAACAAAATATTTAGGCTGCCATTCATACCCATTAGCTTTAACTGTGGTGTTACAATTGTGTGATGAAACAGTTGATTTATTTTCCAGGTGTCTACAACTACCAGGTGGAAGATGATATTGGAAAACTAAAATCATGCCTTAATGGTTTCCTCCAAGAATATGGGCTATCTGTTGTGGTGAAAGATGACTATGTGCACGAGTTGTAAGTGTTGTTTTTGAGGTGTGGCTTTGTTGGTAAAAGTGCTGGGCAGTTTGTGACTGTTCCTTTCCCGTGCAGTTGTCGCTACGGAGCTGCTGAGCCTCACGCGGTTGCTGCGTTCATGGGAGGTAAGGGTGACACTCGCAGGGCCACACAAACAGCAGCCTGCTGAGCCACAGCTCTGCTGCCTTCATTACTGCTCTCAGAGCAAAGGCTGCAGTCACTCATGGCATTAGGGCACAGTCCTCCCCTTCATTCTCCACATGTGACCTCCTACAGGACAGATAGAGTAAGTAGGTGCAGCAACGGTTATAATCAGTAAACTAAATAAACTTCAAAAACAATCCCAGTACATCAACTCTTCAAGTTAAAAATGTGTTTAGAAATGAAATGCTGTAAAGTGGTTTAATTTTTTTTAAAGGAAAGTGATAATTATAGTAATTTTAAAAGCAGTGCAGTACGCATCATCTTTTAACAGAGTACACTTACGTTAAAGATCTAGGAAATATAAGTAGCCTTGGTTTCTTACCTTCATTCAACCTGCAGATACATTTTAATGGATGCTCAAAATTAGTACTTTACCTTCTTTATTTGACTTCATGCAGTGCTGAAGATAATTATGTATTACAGATTCTGCATATGTAGGAATTTTTCTCTGATTAAGGAAAATCTGGTTTGTATCATTCTTTAGAAAAATACATAAAAGGTAATTTCTGAAGAAATTACAGAATGTTTCCTACCACAGGAAAACTCAGAGGGATCACACTGAAGTGACCCTTCAGTTTATTTTACAGTTAAGTTTTGCATGATTTTTTTTTTTTTTAATTCAGCTTCTCAGTTGAAAGGTCAGAACTTGCATGGGTCTGTCAGCTCACCCATTCTTACTCTGTGTGTATGTACATCTATGTAAAGTGGATGCAAAGCTAACTTTTGAAGTAGCAGATTTCTGATCTTCTTTTATAGTGGGAAGTACTGAAAAGTGTTTTTTCTTCTTAGGACATTTATCAGGCACTTCTGAAATAATTCCAGTGTAGGAACTTGTAGATAAATAATTTTACTGTTTAAATATGACCTGCTAACTGCCTTCTGTTTTTTTCTTCTCTTTTGCAGGAGCTGCTGCACAGGAAGTTATCAAAGTCATTACAGGGCAGTTTGTAATTTTTAATAACACCTTCATTTACAGTGGAATGTCACAGACTTCAGCAACTTTCCAGCTGTAGGATAACTTCTTGCATTTGATGCCTCCAGGCACTACTGCTGCTGTATTTACAGTTCCATAAATACTGTGGTGTTCTGCCACTGACTGGACTGTTCTGTTCTGTATTACCTGTTAATTAAAGCTTCTTTATTTGTAATTACCTTCTTTTTGTTGTTCTTTTTGTTTCCTAAGGACAAACAAAATCTTACTATATCCTGAAAATCTTTAAAATCTAGAATTTTCTGACTCACCTCTGAAAGAAAAAGGCAGTAGCTGTTTTTGGCAGAGAAGTTGCATTTACAAATTGGCTCACCTCATTGGCAGCAGAACTCCCTTGTTTCTTATAAAAGCTGCTCATCAGCTTGAGTGGGGAGAAGGTGCAAAAGGGTGAGAGAGGCTGACGGAGCTCTGAGGATCCAATGGTGCAAAGATCTGAAAGGTGAAATACCTTTCCTTGAGTTCAGGGTCATTAGGGAAAGGGAGTGTGTGCCTGAAAGCTTGGTTCTGTCAGGCACATTCACCTAGTAAAAGGTTTTTTTCCAGCAGCCATGTGTGCAGCCAGTGCCACGGGATGGCTGCTCTTTCTGTTGTGGGGGCATTGCAGCCTCCAGCTGCAGAGTATGCAAACTGAGCTGCATTGAAATGTGTCCTCCAGGGCTCAGTTTTAGGCTGGTCCTGGTTACCATCTTTACTGATCATCTGGATGTGGGGATTGAGAGCACCCTCAGTAAATTTGCAGAGGCCCAGTTGGGTGGGAGTGTGGATCTGCTGGAGGATGGGAAGGCTCTGCAGTGAGACTTGGACAGACTCAATCAGTGGGCCAAGGACAATGGTCTGAGGTTCCACAAGGCCAGGTGCCACATCCTGAGGGTCACCAGACACCTCAGAGTGAGCCAGAGTGTGCCCAAGGGGGCAAGAGGCCACGGGCACCTGGCCTGTATCAGCACCAGTGTGGGCAGCAGGAGCAGGGCAGTGCCGGCCCCTCCGTGCTGGGCACTGGTGAGGCCCCACCTCGAGTGCTGTGCCCAGCTCTGGGCCCCTCATGAAAAACAACATTGAGGGGCTGGAGTGTGTCCAGAGAAGGGCAGTAAGGCTCATGAAAGGTTGAGAAAATGTCCCATGAGGAGTAGCTGAGGGAGCTGAGTTTAGTCAGTGTGGAGGAGGCTCAGGAGGGACCTCACTGCTCTCTCCAACTCCCTGCCGGGGCCATGCAGTGAGGTGGGGCCGGTCTCTTCTGCTGGGCCTGCAGTGAGAACCAGAGGAACTGGCCTCACGCCGAGAGAGGAAATTCAGGTTAGATTTAAGAAAAAAATTTTCGCTGTTCAGGTGTTCAGGCCTGGGAATAGGTTGGCCAGGGAGGTGGTGGAGTTGTCATCGCTGGAGGTGTTAAAGAGGCCTCTGGATCTGATATTCGGAAATGGTTTAGTGGTTTAGGGTTTGCAGTGGCAGATGCTGGGCTGACATTGAACTGAGTGGTCTTAAAGACCTCTTCCACCCCTGACGGTTCTACAATTGCAAGAGCTTCCTAGCTGGCTGAGGGGAAGGCTCAGGGCTGTCCCGAGTCCGCCGCGCCCTGAGGCGCTCGGGCGGCGCTGCGGCTGCGGCGGCTCCTGAGGGGCCGAGCCGGGCGCTGCCCTCAGCACCGCGGGGCCGCCGCTGCCCCTCAGGCCAGCGATCCCATCCCTCAGCCCGGCGATCTCACCCCTCAGCCCGGCGATCTCGCCCCTCAGCCCGGCGATCTCGCCCCTCAGCCCGGCGGGCAGCGCTCGGCAGCGGGGACCCGCCTCGCCTCGGGATCTGCCCGGAGCCCCCCGCTCCGCCGGGTCACAGGTACCTAAAGCCTGTGATCCTGACGAGCCTGTGCTGTGGCCGTGGTTGGTGTCTCACACTTCTGCCATAAGAGCTTCAAGGGGAAGTTCACAAAAGTTTCAAAGCAGAAACCTGCACTAGTTCTGAGTGTAGTTTCAGAGCAGTTGGTGTGTGACAGGACTGGGGCTCAGCATGATGGACGAGCAGTGGTGTTCCCAGTGCCAGGAAGGGCTCGTCCCCTGCTCTTTTTATGGCAGATACTCTGTGTGTCAAAGCTTATTCAACTCTCTCTGGCTCCATGCTGGAGCTGATAAAGGTTTCTCTAAAAATGTACACACTGTCAAAATAAAAATGTTTAATTTTTTTTATTACTTTTTTATTTACGTTTAAACAAGAAAGAACTATTTCTAGCAAGTTATCACTTATATGAATACACATGCAAATGAGATCACAATAAAAATTTATCTAAATACGTAAGAAATTAGGAGGAACAGATTGGATAGACCAGGATTAAACTACTAATTTTATTATGCTAGTTATAAACCCTGAGATTTTGATATTTCTGGATCTCAAACCTCAGAGAAATGTAGCATATCTACTCCAGGAGCTGGTAATGGAAGAAAAGAAATACAAGAGTCATTATTTGAATGTTTTAGGCCACAATTAAATGAGCTTGGACCTCCATCCTGTAATTTGTCTCAGTCATCCTTTTGTTTTCTTGCAGAAATCTGAGTTCTGGTCAGATCATCCTGTGTGATGTAAAGCTCTCCTGCTGTCAATGCAGCAGGCTCGAGTCTCTAATGAAAATCTCTTTTTCTACAGAAACTTAGAGAAAGTTGCCAGTATTGGCTCCTAAAATGAATGTAAGGTTAAGGTGTGTGGGGTTGAAACCAACCTATTTTCCTTTGCCATGTCTTGTTCTAGAAGAAAACCAGTGTGAGCTGCTTCAGAACAATGGTCTGCCACTTATGATTCAGGTATTGACAGAATCTCAGGACGAGGAACTCATCAAAGCTGCTACTTTTGTGCTGCAGAACTGCAAACAAAAGAGTAAGCTCTCAGATACTGCTTTCCAAATGGTTCTTTCAATTTCTGTGTTCTGCTGCTTCCCCAAATGATTTTAACTGTGGCAGCTTTGTAATTCTGTGTACTCCAAGACACGTTTGTTTTCTGCATAGAAAGTTGTTTATTTGTCATCAAGAACTGACTTGGGCAGCAAAAAGAGAAGTAAAAATTCCAACAGTGTTGCAGTAATGCATCTTTCCCAGTTCTGATTCTCCAAAATACCTGGTTTGTTTGCAAGGCCATCGTTTGGAACTCGTTTCCAGTTCAGTCTCTCTCTCAAGAACATCTTCTCTATTCCATGGCATAGCTCAGTCAGCAGACCTTATCTCTGAGTTTGCAGACAGATGTATGAGACTATGTGAGCTTTCAGTCAGGCTTTGAGAATCCTCCACAATTCCATTTCTCACAGACAGGCCACTGGTTTCCTGGAGCCTCCCCAGTCCTGTGCTAACACTCCCTGTTTTCTACAGCCACAAACAGATAGAAAGGTTTGTCTAAGGCAGGAAGGCTCAATGCCAGTGCACCGACTAATTTCTGTTTTAAATCTTCAACCTTCTGCTCGTCTTTTCCCCTCCCAATCTCACCTTCTACTAGCTTTTCATACGAGAGCTTGAGGGCCTGAGTGTACCCTTTGATCCACAGCCTACAATAGCCCAACAAGTCTAAAAGTCTGCTAATCTCTCTCTTAGTTTTTGCTTGCAGGAGTGAGACTATCCCCTTAATTCTTTCAGGATTCAGTCTCTGGTTCCCTTGACAAATTATATGTCCTAAGTATTTTACCTCACGTCCTACAAATTGAAGTTTCCCCTTTGATACCCTGAGTCCTTGGTTTCCCAGAAAATTTAATAATGCTATGGTGGATTCCTGAGCCTTCTTTTCATCCTCTCCTGAGAGATGTAAATTATCCACATACTGGAGAAGTATTATTTCAGGTGTGGTTGAGAAAAGTTGTAGTAGTTCCCCTAGGGCTTGACCAAATAAATTTGGGGATTCAGAAAATCCTTGGGGCAGCCTTGTACACATACACCACTGATTGACCACCTGCTACAACCTCTGTAGGTTTGATTGATCTGATGCGTGTTTGCAGTTAAAAACCCCACTATTCTGCCTAGTCCTTCCCTTTAATTTGACCTCACGAGCTTCCCTTTTGCATCTCCCTCATTCCCCACATCTTTACCCTCCTTGGTTACAACAGGGCTCAAACCCATTTTATTTCTGGTTAATCTGATTAGGTAAGAACCTGGGATTGTGATGTCATTGCATTAGCAGAAGGAAGGAANAGCACCGCGGGGCCGCCGCTGCCCCTCAGGCCAGCGATCCCATCCCTCAGCCCGGCGATCTCACCCCTCAGCCCGGCGATCCCTCCCCTCAGCCCGGCGGTCTCGCCCCTCAGCCCGGCGGTCTCACCCCTCACCCCGGCGATCTCGCCCCTCAGCCCGGCGGTCTCGCCCCTCAGCCCGGCGGGCAGCGCTCGGCAGCGGGGACCCGCCTCGCCTCGGGATCTGCCCGGAGCCCCCCGCTCCGCCGGATCACAGGTACCTAAAGCGTGCCCCTCGGCACTCCCCAGGCCTCCCACAGAAGAATGCAGCTGCTGTTTCATCTTCAGACTGTTGCTTTCTTCCCACCCCCTCTTTTTATTTTAAATTTTTTATGTGTTCTTTCCTTTTTATATTTGGGCTGATCTGGAGTGGTTGCTAAGACTTCAAAGTGGGGCTCTGATAATGAGTGGAAATCACACACGGCTCATCTGAGGGAGGAGGGTGGGAGGGAGCTGAAATGGGCCAGGACACCCCCAAGTCCTGTTCGGCAGCGCAGCATCCTCACGGCCTCAGCTGCTGCTGTGGGGTTTGGTTTCCAGAGGAAGCCAACAATCCGCGCTTCTCCCCTCTGGGCTTTGGTCCCTGGGTTTCAAAGGATAAGTCCTGCCGAGGCTGCCTGGTCTACTGACCGAGCCAGCCATGTGCTCTAGTGCTGCTGAACACACGCACTGACAGATCAGCACTTCTCCAGGAGTGGTTTTTGGGGTTTGAAGGGGTGTTACTGGGTTATTTTCCATAACTGGTGAAGAGGTAATCTGTTCAATATGCAACATTTGCCCGATGTTTGTTGAAGCAAATCTAGTCGCTTGTCTTACTACCTTGTCCTGTGATGCAACAACAGAGGTGAGCTATTTGCAGCTAATTAATATAGGCTGGCTTATAAATACATATCTTCTGTGTACCTTCTGTAAGTTGCAAAAGTAAAAGATCCAGGTAAGGTCACTTGTTTACAGTTTTAAAGCCCTTGTGCTTCCTATATTCTATAACTGCATAAACATGTATTAAATTAAACTCTTCTGAAATGCAATTAGCTCCAGAGCGAACTCATTTTTACAGCCTTCCTTTAGTTTAGGTGGTTTTTGTTTTTTCTTAGGCTGGTGGGGTGGTAGCAGTAGGACAAAAAGAGGTGAGGAAGGCTTGCAGGCTTTTGCCTCTTGTGGCAGGGCTGGGATTTGCAGGAAAATGAATTGCGTGTCTATTATCACTTCTGAAAGGCTAAAGGGAGATGAACTCTCTAAATTTTCCCTCTCCGATGGAAGCAGTAAAGGAATGGGGGTGATCAGTAACTCTAAACAAAAAGCAGGGCAGGCTGTCTTCATTAAGGTGACAATGATACTGCTTTGAGCTCTTGAGAAGGAAAACTAATCCATTATTAAGCTGGATTTGCCACTGATTTAAAGTTTCTACCGGAACTAAGTAATTTTTTGAGAAATTTTAATAGGTTCTTGTAATGCTTGCATCAACTTCTTGTGTTTGGGACTTGGGGCGTATTTGAGGGACCATCTTCTGCTTCCAAACCTGAATGTCACTCTGCTGCTCTACTCTCAGAGGCTGCCCCGTTGGGTTTGTGAAGCATCAGTGCTGTGGGGTTTTGTGGATTACATGGTTCATGTAATGTGACAGTGTCTTCAGTGAATTTAAATAAATTCTTGCAATAAGGAATCTGTCTCTATGCTCATTGCCTTTGGTTTGGTCAGTACTGCTAGAACAATGCTGATGGTTTAGTGGCTCCTTGAACAGAAGGAGGCTGAATGCTTTATAATGTTCACCCCCTAAGTAACATTACTTGGTCTTAGTGCCAACTGTTGGCTGATGGCAAAGCTGGCCACTCTAGTAAGGAAAACTGGATCAGCTTTGTTGTGATCAGTGACACAGAGCAGGGATATTCTTTACTGACAGTGCCCCTCAGTGGTAACATGGAATTACATGATTTCTGCAAAATGTCCACCTTCACAAGATGATAACCTAGTAGTTACAAATGCAGGGTTATTATTAAATATTGTATTTCCAAAGGAAAACATTTCCATGCAGGAACACATTAAACTGTGTGTGAGAGAGATGACAGAATAAGAGCAGAAAACTGCAGAGTGCATTTTAGGAAAACGATGTAATTTCTACTGTGTATAGTATAGACATTGCTAATCTGAACAGAACTGAAAACACTTTTTTTTCTTGCTGTTGTAGTACAAGAAGAAAGACAAAACAAAAATGAACACTCCAAAGGTGCAGAAAAATCAGTGTGGTAAGATATCTAATATAATTTGTCATTATAATGTACATCAATTTTACAAAGATTTAGTAGACTTTGACAGGCCTGTTGTGGGGTTGAGAGCAGTTGGAAAAACATGCTTTTATCTAGTTGCCAAATTTTGGATACTGTATTGGGTATGCAAAGGGTAAATGCAATGACAAACCTACACGTAGTAAAGGACACTACACAAAGTCACCTTTGTTTTAAAAAAAAATTTGCTGATATTTATCCACATTTTTATTAGATTTTAACTTCTTTAAGAACCCCCAAACCTTGTAAGAGTTTACACTAAAAAATACCTCCTGTCACTATTAGAAATAATTATCAAATAAGTATTTTAGTTATACTCCAAAGACTAAGGAACAGATTTTCCAAGTCTGTTTACCCACCTAGGCTTGTATGTAGGTGCCCAGCGAATATTTTGTGTTACATCTCTAACCACCTGATTGAGGGCTCTGCTGCTGTGGTGCACAATTCATATCTCCTGTAGCTCAGTACCACGGAGCAGCCTTGTGCTCTTGGACTCTTTCCTTACTACTCCACAGATTTTCAACTGTATTTACACTCTGAATTTAATGGTTGTGTATTATTTACACTTACTGCACCTTGCAGTTTTGAATTTAATATTCAGTAGTTTACATCACACTTATTAACACTTAAAGTCGCTAGTAATTAAAGGCCAGAAATATTAAAAGGAGGCTGTTACTCTACAAAGGAAATCATGCTCAAATAACGAACTGTGGATAGCAATACTTTAGATTTGTTGTTTGTGGGTGAATAGAAGTGATGTAGCTACAATTTGGCTTGCCTTTTCTCCTTTTTTTTTAAATACATGTACATACTGCATTTTGGACAGATTTATTCTAATACTGACTAGATTAATATATAGAAAATACAATAATTTTAATGAAGTATTTTGTGTTTGCTCTTAGATATGAAAACAGATCTGAACTTACTGCTTGAATGCCTTAAATATCAGATGGACTGCCCTCTGTCTCAGAAAGAGGCTTTGATCACTATCTATTCCATTTGCCAACAGAACAGTAAGAAATGTTTTTCCTTAGAAACTACACAGTCTTTTATGTTCATCCTGTATGTTAAGAAAGTGGTGAGCACTGTGAAAATGTTGTCTAAAGGATAAAAGGTTTGAAATGCTGGAAAATCTTAGAAACCTTTCATTTTGCAGAGAAACAAAAGCAAAAGTTTCTGTTCTTTTTTCTCTTGTAGGTGAAGCAAGCCAATACTTTCAAGAAATTGGTGGTTTGATGTTTATAAATGACCTTGCCAAGTCGAGTGTTCATTGCATAGTAAAGGAAGCAGCTTTATTTACATTGGGGATTATTATAGAGAGTAATGGTAATAAAAATAATATTTTTTGTATTTCTGAGTGAGTTATGGCCCCCTGTCATTACTTGTGCTTGTGCATTTTCTTTTGGTGTCACAAAATGAGACTACAAGATTGTCAGTTGGAGCAAGGGGCAAGGAAGGTGCCCCAGTTGCACTGTGCATTCCCAGATTTGATCAGTGCCTTGTTGATTTGTGCACACAGGGTGTCTAAGTTACCAGACACCTGTACTCCCCCTTTCCCTCAGCAGCAAGTGTTAAATGACCCCTGGATTGTTCCAAAGCTTGCCAGGGTCCTGGCTGGTGCAGAACTCACTGCAGGGGGAAGCCCTCAGTCACTTCATAGTCCTGCCTTGTCTCCACTCCCCACATACTGGCCACAATTGAGACTTAATAACTTAGGGTTCTGAGTGGCTTACTTTAGGACTTAATGGCTTTCACTTTCTGTTTTCAGTGTATTGTCAGCAGACTTTGTGTACTTCTGCATTGTTTGAAGACCTCATTTTAATTTTAATTAAAAAGGATTCTGGTGTGAACTTGAAAAGGATGTCTGTTTATGTCATCTTAGTACTGGTTTCAAATAATAGTAAGTTGGGTTTTTTTTCTGTTTTACAGCAACACTCTTTCTCTATTTGCCAGTATGCAGTACAAAATTTGGAACATTCAATAAGTAATGTTTTGATGAAGTTAATTTATAAAGATGAATGTTTGCATGTAACTGAATGTGAATTATCTGAGTAGGTCATTACTCACTGGGATTTCCTAAAACAGTAAAATGTGGTTTAGTTCTAAAAATACAGTTTGCAAATGCAAACCCATAGTTTCAGAGAGTGTAGAGGAAAAGAGCCATAGAAAGATTATTTACCAGTATGTTGATATGATTTTGTATTTACTTCAGGGGAGGATATGTGCTTAGGAAAGGGAATGTATGTATATAAATTAAATTTTATGTTAAGATTTTGTCCACATATGTCTCTGGAGTCTTGTGTGTGTTCTCTTTTAGAAAATGGGCAAACCTATGTCAGAGATACAGGCTGCATCAGCCTGCTGCTGCAGTTATTCAGGTAAACAGGGTAGCAGTTCAAATAGACAAATAATAGACTGGTTAGCAGCTATGTTCCCTTGACTATTTGAGACTTGTTTTCATTGTCCTTAACAGAACAACTCTCTTCACCTCTGAGAAGAATCTGTCAGATGAAAATACTGATCCCTGCTATCAGCTCTGGTCCTCAGTGTGCAGCACTCTCTGTGCCTGTGTGAACAACCCTCAGAATGGTACATGTTGCTCTGAGAATTGTGAAAGAGGTTTAAAGATGTTCTCCAAACTGGTAACAGTTTGGTTTCATTTTTACTGTTCAGCTGAAATTTCATTTCATTGCTTTTTGATGTGGGGTAATTTGTTTTTGTTTTTCCAGAAGATAATCAAAACATTTGCTGTTCAGTTTTTCCCTTTGCCAAAGAGTGGCTCGAGAGTTGCACAGAGCCTGAGATAGTTCGTCCCATTTGTTCATTTCTTGGTCTCACAGTTGCAAATAACTGTAAGTGCAGCTCCAGCTTTGCACAGATTTGCATTTGATAAAACTTTAATTAGAGAGTAAAATTTTTTTCCTTTCTTGTCAATCTCTACAAAGTCATTTGCTGTTCTTCCAACTTTTACTGTGACAGCTGTATTCCACCATCTTTACTTCCACTGCACTGTGCTCAAATAGCCACAAAGTGGTTACATTTCGTAAGGTCAGTAGAACTATTTGGAAGCTGTTTTGATTACAAGTATTTCTAAATAAAAGTAATTATTACCTGACTGAAAACAATGACTTAGGTAGAACTCAGGCATGATGTTTACCATTTGTGTGCACATATTAGGGTCATGTTTTCCTGTAACTATTTTATATGCAGTTACTACATTTTTTGAGATTAATATATATCCGGCTTCTGTTTGTATAAGAAGTCTAATGACTAACACATGCACAGAAAAACTGTGATGAACTTACTTGATGAAATGCTGAAGTAATTTGCAAACTCTGTTGCTTAAATCACAATTTTTTTCATTTTTTTCACTAAGCATATGTGCAGAAGTATTTTGTTTCTATTGGAGGATTGGATACATTAGCCAAAGTTCTCCTTGAGCTTATGCATGATTCCTGTTTGAGTCACTCCAGCATGAAACTTGCAGTGGTAGTAACAAAAACTCTGGATGCCTGCATTACTAATAACTGTGAGTGAAAAGGTATTTTTTATCTATGGTAATTTTAAAATGGAATTTTTAAAGTCTTGTGCTGGTGGAAAAGTTACATAAATGGATGCTTCAAGGCAGTTAAATTATATACATCCCAGTGGATGCTGCAGTGTTTTTTTAAATTCAGAGGTGTAAGTGGGGGGTGATTCAGTTCATCTGAGGTAGATTACTGTCCCATTGTTGCTAAAATAAAGACAGTGAGGTTTAAAACCTGACTGAAAATTAAAAATAAGATACTCCAGCTAGTCCTGGGTAAGTAAAGCTGAGCTCTGGATTTGGCCAGTCAGTTTGGATCTTGGAGTTAGGCCTATGCCTGAATGATAAATTATGTGGCTCTAGGATAAGAAGCTTTAGTAGTTCAGAGGTGGAGCTGAACAAACGTGTTCAAAGGTGTTTCTGCACAGCACACCTCTACTCGGTTTGCTGGCTGGGTCTGCTCTCCTAGTGAGGTCTTGTGTATTCCATCAGAAGGTTTGGAGAAACCTGTGATCCTGACGAGCCTGTGCTGTGGCCGTGGTTGGTGTCTCACACTTCTGCCATAAGAGCTTCAAGGGGAAGTTCACAAAAGTTTCAAAGCAGAAACCTGCACTAGTTCTGAGTGTAGTTTCAGAGCAGTTGGTGTGTGACAGGACTGGGGCTCAGCATGATGGACGAGCAGTGGTGTTCCCAGTGCCAGGAAGGGCTCGTCCCCTGCTCTTTTTATGGCAGATACTCTGTGTGTCAAAGCTTATTCAACTCTCTCTGGCTCCATGCTGGAGCTGATAAAGGATGTGGAGAAACTCAGCAGGGATCTCCAAAACTTGCACAGTGCAAAGCCCTCGTTCATCAGATCTTCTGCCTCATCTCCATGGAGCACAGGCTGGGAGAATGGGCAGGGCTGGATTTGGGAACAGCACAGGAGGGATGGGATAATGTGAACTGCTAAAGGCAGAGCAGGGCAGGGCTGAGCAGGCCCAAGGCTTTGAGGGGTCTGTAGAGTTCCCTCAAAACCCAGCATTTTATACTTGGATAATTCCTTTACAGTCATGATCTAGTTTATTTTCCTTCCAATTATTTTAACAAACAGCTGCCATGGGTGTTGTGTTGGCCAAGTATCACACTGTGTCAGAGCTGCTGAAGCTGCTGTCCAATGAGACACTGAGCACAGGAGAAAAAGCCAGTGTTATTCTAGCAATTGGACACTGTACTGAAGTTTGTGGTAAGATTTTCCTTTTCTTCTTCCTGAGTGTCAGCTTCTCCTAAATTCTTATACACTGACTCCTCCAGTGGTGTCACTTCATCAAGATTGGAACATGAGGGAGAGTTCTATTAAATAATATGATGTCAATATTCAGAAAAAGTTTTCTAGAATATTCCATCTTTAAGTTGTAAAGCTTGTTAGCAGGAAGTGTCTTTAGTAGGTTTGAAAAAGTAGACTAATATCTAAGAATTCAGAGCTGGGCTTAGGGAGCACAGGGAATAATTAATCCAGACCTGAAAACCACTGAAATCCAGATGTAGCAAATGAGTTTTCTTGAGATCTCCTTTCATGGTCCTTGGCTCATACAGCTTCTGTCCACTGCTACCAAGGACTGTGTAAAAGCCATGTAAGAACATTGGATTTCAAGACATATAAGCAGTAGGTAGCCCTGAAATGTTTTTGTCATGTTCCTCAGGATATGCTAGATATGCCCTAGCATATCTGGTAAAAATACAGCACTTCATTTGTTATTTTGGGTTAGTGCAAGCAAATTGAAAGAGAAATTCATTTGTACTGCTGTTTTTTCTCATGTATGTATAGATAAACAAGAAAAAGGGCTTATGTTTAAAAATTCTGGTTGGTTTTCATCCTCTGAGTGCCAATAACATGTTCAATAATTAGCTTAATAGGTCATAAATTTATTTAACAGATATTTTTTCATGAAACAAAACTTAATGGAAAATGTCTTTTGAATAGAAAAATTACTAAACCAGTAGAAAAAAGGATTTCTCTAAAAATGTACACACTGTCAAAATAAAAATGCTTTATTTTTTATTGCCTTTTTTATTAAGTTTAAACAAGAAAAAACTATTTCTAGCAAGTTATCTCTTATAAGAATACATATGCAAATGAGATCACAATAAAAATTTATCTAAATACGTAATAAATTAGGAGGAACAGATTGGATAGACCAGGATTAAACTACTAATTTTATTATGCTAGTTATAAACCCTGAGATTTTGATATTTCTGGATCTCAAACCTCAGAGAAATGTAGCATATCTACTCCAGGAGCTGGTAATGGAAGAAAAGAAATACAAGAGTCATTATTTGAATGTTTTAGGCCACAATTAAATGAGCTTGGACCTCCATCCTGTAATTTGTCTCAGTCATCCTTTTGTTTTCTTGCAGAAATCTGAGTTCTGGTCAGATCATCCTGTGTGATGTAAAGCTCTCCTGCTGTCTCCTGCAGCAGGCTCGAGTCTCTAATGAAAATCTCTTTTTCTACAGAAACTTAGAGAAAGTTGCCAGTATTGGCTCCTAAAATGAATGTAAGGTTAAGGTGTGTGGGGTTGAAACCAACCTATTTTCCTTTGCCATGTCTTGTTCTAGAAGAAAACCAGTGTGAGCTGCTTCAGAACAATGGTCTGCCACTTATGATTCAGGTATTGACAGAATCTCAGGACGAGGAACTCATCAGAGCTGCTACTTTTGTGCTGCAGAACTGCAAACAAATGAGTAAGCTTGCAGATATTGCTTTCCAAATGGTTCTTTCAATTTCTGTGTTCTGCTGCTTCCCCAAATGATTTTAACTGTGGCAGCTTTGTAATTCTCTGTACTCCAAGAGATGTTTGTTTTCTGCATAGAAAGTTGTTTATTTGTCATCAAGAACTGACTTAGGCAGCAAAAAGAGAAGTAAAAATTCCAACATTGTTGCAGTAATGCATTTGTGAAACCTCTCCATGTAGGGCCAGGTTTTAAAGCTTTCCTATCTATACATGCTATGGAAAATATGAACATTGTCATTTAACACCCATTGGATACTCTCTTCCTGGGGATGTACCACTAGAGACAGAGAATAAACCAGGAGATAATCAAGGCTGAAATCACATGAATTCCTGATATTAAGAAATCTTGATTTTTTTTTTCTGAAGCAGGATTTTTTTAGGTCCCCTGTTTCAGTTCTTTATTAATTATTTGTACAATGCCACTCATGAAACAAAGAGATGTTGTCCTCTAATCTCTAGAGTGTGGAGTGTGTGCAATTACTAATTAGGAAAAAACAAACTTGTATCTACATTTTTGTGCTGCAAGCACATCTACACTAGATTTGTGTAAGGTTGAGGGGTTTGGGGATTTGTAGTGTCCATAACATGGAATTGTTTTTCTAAAAAGCAGAGACTCATCTTGGTAAAGACCCCAGAGTTAAGTCAATGAAAAAGTCATTTTTTTTCAAAGCATCATTGTGCAAACTGTTTATAATAAGTTTAATTGCAACCCCACCTCTTGTAACTACAGCTTATATTTCAAATGTGTTACATTTATATATAAATTTAAATTTGATAAAAATTGTTATTTGCATTAAATGATTGAGGCTGTCCCTCAGCATACTAAAATATAATAAATACTTTTTTAAATGTTAATTGATCACATTTTAAATATTAATGTTGTTTTATATTTTATAAAGCTGAACAGTTGTCTCTGAAATTATATGATAACTCATTAAATGTGAACAATGCAGAAGAATTGGATGTGGAAGTCAGAAAAAGATGTCTACAAGACTACTGGAAGAAAGCAAAAGAAATTTTACACAGAATAAACTCGATTGAAAAAGAGCATGATGAGGTTGGCCTATTTACCAAAATAGGATAAAACTAATCACACCTTTGCAGAGTTTAAGGAGAAAGTGAAAATAAATCTTTAAGATAATTTCAGTGTGAGCAAAAAAAAACCCCAGGAAAAATGTTGGATTTGTGTGAAGCTACAACCTACAACTTCTATCATTATTGTAGATCAGACCAAGTTACAGGTGTGCAGAGAATGGAGGCACCTGTATTGTATGAAGTATTCAAGTTTATTCTAAACCCAGATTTCTTAAGAGATAGAAATAGAAGTTGAATTTAATTGCTGGACATTCAAAACTATAATTCCAATACTTGCATGCATGAAATGCTTAGGATTGTATGGCTGTGGTGGGATAGATCATAAAGGAGAATGTGAACATAAGCTGAGATAAATTTGTTTCATATTTTCCTTGTGCTTTAAAGCTGCTAAGTATCTGTGGGTTTGGAACAGCAAGTTTATGAGTTCTTTAGATGGCTCTTAAGTTCTAGCAGTGCCTTGCATTAGTAGGAAATTCCTTGCTTCAGCCTGAAATAAGCACTTAGGAAGTACCTCCTCAACACCTTCAGTGGCACTGCTGTCTTCTTGGCTCTCAGCTCAGTCAGGGGGTTTTCTGAAGCTTCTCTGGAATTTGTTTGACCCTCACAGTTAGACTATCTAGTTAATCCTGTTTTTTTATTTAATATTCTAACGGAGCTCACATAGTCACTAACCAGTAATTCTCAATGCAGGAAAGAGTGCAAGAAGAAATACTTGTAGACAAATCTTCAGCAGCCAATTCTGAAGCATTAAAATGCCATGAGGTGAATCCTGCTGATCCAAAGAAGCCCACAGAAAGAACACATAAAGATGTCTGTTGTCCACAGTTGACCTCAAAGTTGAATAATCAGGCTCTTGCTCCATCTGTAACTTCTGCTACACAAAGAAATGAAACAGTGAACACTGTGGATGCAGCTTTCACCAGACAAACTGAGCAGAGGAACTTTCCATGTTCGGTCACTGAGCTGCAAACAGACAGCGAACCTCCGGGTCACAACACAAATGGAAAAGCTGCTTGTGGAAAAAGTCAGTCTGGTCTTGAGGCAGGGTAAGAATGGTACCCCTAAGCAGAAATACTAGTTGCTTTTCTTAGTCATTCCAAATTGACAGGCTTTTAAATTATCTGTTACTATCTATGTGGGTTTTTATTCTAGTGGAAAGGTGTAGCCCTTTGGTGGCCCAGTAGAGATTGTTTTTGAGGTCACAAATCAAAGATTTTAATCATTGCAGTAACAAAGCTGCATCTCTGAGTGCTGGTGTTGGACAGAGAGCCTCTCTTAGGGCACGTTCAAGTGCCTTCAGCATAGTGCTGAAAATCATCCATGGCTTTTGTCCCAAAGTTCTCACTGATGTAACAGATGAAGATTTAACCCATTGGTTTGGACAAAACAGTTTCTGTAATGTGCATGTACTAGGGAAACAACAGGTAGAGAACTGCTCAGAAAAATACTGAAATTGGGGTGTCTGCAAAGTAGAAGGATAAGTTTCTGCACCTCTGCAATTCTCCCCTCATTTTCCTGTGCTGCCCTGCATGGGAAGAGAAAGGAACAGCCCTGTTTAGTCACTACCTGTTCTTTTGCTTGTTTCTCTCACACAAATGCTGATTTTCCTCTTTTTCTTTTGCTGCTTGTGTTTATCTTTCCTATTGATAAACCTAAAATTATTTATAGCTAACTTGAAATGATAAATACAAGTTCCATTCTCAAGTTTATATCTGGAATATTCCTCCAAACAATCAATGGAAAAGTATGAGCAAAACTACATTTTGGGGATTTTTTTTTGTTATTGTTGTTTTGGGCTTTCTGAGTTCCACATTTTTATTGTATTGTGGTTTTTTTTTTAATGTGTCTGGCTTCACCTAGCTCTTTGCACTTTCTTGGTTTTATATTGTTACTTTGCAACTACCACAGAAATCACCAAGAGCCTGGGTATTTTCCATGGTGCATTCAGGTAAATTCTGCTTTGCTACTGGTTAACATAATTTCACAGCTTCTTTAGTTGTTGTTCTTGGCTCTGGTGCAGAAACTGTTAAAATAACAATTTTTAAAAGTCTCTCCTTTTGAATATGTGTTTGTGTGAACACAGGAATTACTGGAAGGTAACCTTGGATCAGGCTCCTTGCTCCTGCAGCTTTCAGAGGGAGTCAGGGATACAAAAACCCACATAGCACTGTGTTGGTTGCATTGAAGTTAATTAGTGTAATAAAAGAAGAAAACAAATTACCTTTTAGAGCATTTGCTGCAAATGGTGAAGGCTACAGCATTCTGAAGACTTTGTGAGAGCTTTATGTGCACTTGGTAATCTTTATGTGAATCTGAATTGCAAATTACTCTGGAAACCAGTGACAGCTCTGCACTCCCTGCTGAACAGACTGCAAGGAATGGCAGTCACAGATCTCTGGGAAACAATCTTTAACATGTACTGATTACATGCTGGGTGCCATAAGTTCAGTAACTTGGGATAACTAGATAAATTTGTTTTAGACTTTTCTCTTTTATATATTTAATGTTTTTTTGTTGTGCCCTTGGAATGTGTGTATTCATTTGCAGGTAAATGTATGTTGTTTTTATTGCTTTATTGGTTTTAATTTGTTCACATTTTGATCTTCCCAGTGAACAGTTTTTTAAACAACCAGCAGAGACTGTTAGAAATATAAAACAGACATGCACATCAGGTACAAATTGCTACATATATTCCTTTCTGAGCTGATTTTGTTCTCAATGAGATTTTAATTAGTTTTGTGTGCATTTATCACTACTTTTTATCTCTTGTTATGTAACATTAGATGACAGAGGTGCCTTATTTGTAATATCCTTTAACTGGTTTGCATAGTGTTGGAATTTTATATTGTACACAATTTTACCAGGAAAGCATTTATCTGACTTTTCTTCTAATACATATTTTTGCTTTCTTCTTTTTTTAAACTGATTTTAGCTATTCAAATGAATGTATCAGAGATTAAGTTTAGTGTTTAATCTGTACTGACTAGTGAAAGCCACTAACAGAAAATGCAGGTGTGGTCCTGTGCCTGTAAGGCTGGGATAGAACCTGTCTGTGAGAGTGACTTTGGCCTGATGCTGTTCCTACATGGTGAAGTTTTTCGTATTTGCATTAATCCTAGTCTGATACATTTATTTCAGAACTGGGATCTGTTCAATTAAATCATTATTTGTTGTTTAGTTTCCTGTTAATTTATAAAATTGCTAAGTATTCATTAGATTAGAGTTTGCTGGAATGGGAGCTTTACAGGTGACCAGCTGATCTCCAGGTTATACCTGTTTAAACTGAGAATATATATTATTCCAATATGTTGCATTTTTAAGCATCTGATTCCAAACAGAAATAAAGTTTATAGGGCTTAGTTAAACAGTATGGGTTTTCTGGGTCAATTTGCTATGTTCAAGCTGAAGTAATATCCTTCAGGAGGGTGATGAAAAAAACACTGAATTGAACATGGTTATTCTGGAATTACAGAAATATGAATGTGAGGCATTTAACTTGAGAAATTTCATTTGGATTTTATGCTGTTCTATTAATTAAACTTTAATAATCTACAATTAGAAAATGCAGTTGAATGTAGTTATGTTGATGCATGATTACCATGGCAAAAGATATGTTACATTTCTTAGTGACCTTTTTTCCTCTCTCATTTAGATCAACATTCATTCTGCTCAGAGAAAACTGAGAGAGCTGAAAGTACTTCAGCTACATCTTCATCCTATAAAATGGCAGGTTTAAGGTGTTTAGGTAAATATTATCTTAAATCTTTCTTTCCAGAGTACATAAAGAAGCCTTAAAGAGTCAGCAGTGCTGTAAGCAGATTGACTTGACAGAAATTGTAACACATCTGTTCTGTTACCGCTTATGTAATAACAAAACCTGAGTGCCCCTTCCCTTCCCTTCCCTTCCCTTCCCTTCCCTTCCCTTCCCTTCCCTTCCCTTCCCTTCCCTTCCCT